TTCAATGTCAGCTTTCCTGCTCCTCTGATGCTGCTTGGCCTGCTGTGTTCATCCAGCTCTACACCTTGTTATCTCAGATTCTCCAGTATCTGCAGTTCCTACTATCTCCGACATTAGATAAGCTTTGATTCTTGCTACACAGAGCTCAATGTATGGAACAGTATCAAAGCAATAGGCATTCACCTTGTATGCATCAAATCCTTTAAGAATGTGCTGAATAAATAACAAACTTGAGGTTGAAAAACAAATTCAGATAATAAAATGCACAATGGGACACAATGGCTCCTGAAGCCAGCCATATGCCAAATTAAAATGAATAAAGTGCACCCGAAGAGATAAAAAATTCCCGAATATTTATCCAATTTGGTTTAGAAAAGGCAGAATTAAGAGCAAGGGAAGCTATTCCAATACCTTTCTTCCAGAGGTTACACGAAATAGCTAGAGACCATAACAGAGTATATAAAATAAAGGGAAGGGGACTTGCTTGCAGATGTGCTTAATTGTTCCATTGCTTTCTCATTTAAGAATAATTTACTTGACAACACCCAAGAAAATTCAAAAGCGTTTTGAAGCCCACCTCAACGCTTCGTGAATTGACAGGAAGATTTGCATATTCAAATGAAATAATGTTTTTAGAATACAAGATATTTTTCAGATTATAAGAAATCTTAACAATTTATAAACTTCTTTTTAATATAGCAGTTTTAGTTGAATTACAAATTGACTAAATACTTGAAGATTACAAGTGATAAGAAACTAAGATGGTTCAGCGCTCAAGGTGAGAGAATTCCATCACTTAAAATTACATGTTCCATTGTTTTCTGAACTTATCAGGGTGTTGTGCTAAATTTAAGTGAAGAGGGCACCCAGTAGAGTGGATATCTTCACATTGCTATGTTCAAGTCATTAAAATTACACAGATTTTTCTTAAGGCTTTTCCCTGGCTGCTTGATGTTCCGTGGTTTCTAAAGCAAAAACAAAAATTTAGAGATAGTGGGAACTGTCGATGCTGGAGAATCTGAGATAACAAGGTGTAGAGCTGGATGAACACAGCAGGCCAAGCAGCATCAGAGGAGCAGGAAAGCTGACGTTTTGGGTCTGGACCCTTCTTCCAGAAAAAACAGAAATTTAAGTGCTCATCTCACTGAGGCAGCTTCAGGCCAATTCACATCACAAACCTTCTCCCAAAACTTTGCTCGCATTTTGACAGCTGCGACAAATTACACCACAGCAGCAGATATAATCCATAACAATCTGAATAAATTAGCAGTACAGGTAGTTCTGCTACAATGTATGTTTCGTTAACGCGAATTGGCTGTACCGTGATTAATGAATAGTGGACACTTTGGATAACGCAAACTTTCTGCTGTACAGGTGTAGTGATTTCCCTATAACATAATTTTCTATTGTGCGAGATCACACAAGGTGGCAAATATCACATTATACGAGAACTACCTGTATTCACAATAAAAGAGCCTATAACATTCTGAACAAAAACTTCAATTCAGCCCATCCCCCAATATTAATAAGATCCAATCTTTAAAAGATTCCATGATTCAGATCTTCGCTAAAATACATTATTTCTTCCTTAGACCATATCCTATCTCTGCAACAGGTTTCCTTGGAATGGATCCATTTAGAGCTTTTTTTACATACACAGACTAACAAATAATTCCCTCCTTTCAGTAGAGGGGGAAATTATCAATAAGTCTGTTGACCAGGATGCTGGGCAAATAAATTGCACAGATGGTGAGTTGGGAAGAGAAGCATAGCTTTAAAAACCATAGATTCATAGAAGAAAGGAAGAAAATGGCAAGGTTTATTCAAGACATTAAAAGATAATCAATACATTTCTACCAGCAACTAATAACTTACTTTAAACATTGGCCTAACATGATCCAAGTGTGTAGCACTGGTAAAAGGTGCCTGCACATGGCTTACAGCCTCCATGAGGGCTTTGGCAGTTTTAGCCATTTGCTCCATCTCTAGGTTATATAAAAGTCTTCTTTGTTTCTCACTGGCTACATCTGTAAGTATTGAAAGGAATAAAAACTTTTACTTACTAAGAAATAATTTTCACGTAATTACTACATTTTCTGATTGGGATTATAGATTATACACTCTTAAAAACAATAACAAGTCTTTTAATTTGGATTTCAAACAAAAATGAAAAGCTTGCGTAGCATATAATAGCATCCTACAATAACACTATGGCCTTCAGTTCATTCTAGAATTTTGTTTTAAAGTATGGACCCGCTTGAGTTTTGCTTTCACTTTTTAGAACTTTTTTCATGGCATGGCGCCATGTTGAGTTCCAATTGCTGTTGTATTGTAGATTGAATGCTAACATTCATATTGAGATTGGTGATGTAACTGCTAAGTTTATTAATAGCTTATTACTGAGAATTAATAGTCAGAATAAATCCTAATTTCACAGAAGTGCAACAATCAAAAAATCCTATTTCATAAACAATGTGGTACACATCATTTTGCAAAGCTGTAAGATACAGTGTGAAGAGAGAAACAACTTGTGAACATGTTGCAATATGTTACGACAGAAGGCAAGATATTGGTAAAGATGTGTCACTTTTACTTTCCCCATTTTCTGCACACCTTTCTATCAAATAACAGCACTTTTCTCAGTATGAGTGAACAAACAGCGGGTAGCAGTGCTTACAATGTAGAACACTCTCTTCATTGACCTGTGTTGCTTTAATTTCAAAATATTTGTTTCTAGGAGACTTAATTCCAACTTGCAAATTCAGACCTTTAGATGCAGAGATCTGGGTAGTTGACATCATTAAGCAATTCCATTGGCATCTTCTCTAGCCTTTGAATTACATAATGACACAAATTTAGTAAAAGTCAGTCTTAGCTGACTGCATTGCAGTTATCAAAGCTGGTGATGAGCCTATTTATATGCTTTCTTTTCGGAGTACCTGCTATCATGCAACTACTTATCAGAGAAAGAATGTAGAAGGAATGCCAATTTTACAAATTACAATTTCCTGATAAATATGCATGGTATAAAGATTCACTTCTGATCCTCTTTCAATAATGATAGCTGTCAGTGACTCTTGTTAAAATATGACTAACAGATGTGAACATACTTGCACAGTGGGGAAGGTGGATGTTTGATCCATAGTAGTCAAGACACCACCAATTGCAAGGTCCCCTCTAAGCCACTCACCATCCTGACTAGGTAGTGTACTGCCCATCCCGAAACTCTCTCCTTAATGACATTGTGAACTTACGTACACTAAATGTACTGCAGTGGTTCAAGAAGGCAGCCCCACCAGCACTTTTAAAAGGTAAGTAAGGACAGTCAATAAATGCTGGCCCAGCCCAGTAAGGTCCACATCCCAAGAATGAATAAACATTAAAAAAAAACCTATTTTTCTTTATTTGTTCAGCCTCTACAAAATATTACTCAGATGTCAGCACATTAAAACCTACTACAAAAAACAAAACATACAAAACTGCATTTCAATAGAAGGAAATGAAGTGATGGATCATACTTCAGCAACTGGCTGGTACCATTCTCACCTGGTTCCTTTTCTTAGCTAGCTAAGCCAGAATATCTCTTGCACTGGCTTCGCCACCTGCTCTTGCACTGTTACCTCTGGTGTCCCCCAAATATCTATCCTTGGTCTTCTCCTATTTCTCATCTACATGCTGTTCTTAGACCACATCATCTGAAAGCACAGCATTAATTTTCACATGTATGTTCATGATTCTACCATCTCCCTTGGTTCCTCCATTGTTGCAAAATCATGCACGGAAATTTTCTCCAATTAAACATTGGGAAAACTAAAACCCATTAGCTTCTGTCCTACTCCAAACAATATTGCCTAGTTACTGATGCTATCCCTCTCCCTGCAACTGTCCGAGATTAAATGCGGTGCTGTGTTTAATTTAGAGATAAGACTTCAATATATCTGGAGCCTCAGCAAGATCAAGCACTTAAATTTCCGTAGTATTGCTCGACTTTACCCTGCTTTGATTCATCTTGCCACTGAGAACCTCACTCATGCCACAATATCTGTGTTCATCTAATTCTGGTCTTTTGAGCTTCCCTGAATCTAACTGTTTGACCATTTGTAGTCATGCCTAGATATCAAATTCAGGAATTCACTTCCCTTTCCTCTTTTAGAGACTAGTGAAAATTTAACTTTTTATTCACATTTTAGGTCATCTGGCTGACAATCTTATTTTTTGGCTTGGGTATAAAATGTTAGTTTATAAATCTCTCCACAAAGGCATTGGGATATTTTATTAAGGTAAAAGTAGGTTTCTGTGGCTTTTGGTTTCTCAGACAAGAGAAACTCAAACAACTCTGGCAAGAACCGTTAACATGAAATGACAACAGCCGTGTCCACTGTGATCCTAATGAATTGCTTTAGTAGTCTTCATGCTACAATAAGGAAAGCAAAGAATATATACATGCATTAAGACTTAAATATCACACGAATTCTGTTTTAGAAGGTTTTGGCATCAACTGAGAGACTATGTGAAATCCTTCCTGGAGGTCAACGGCCAAATAAAGAGTCTAACCTTTTAAAGCATCTTCCTTGAATGTCAATACGTTTTTTCACAAATCAGATAACTTAGCACTGAATAGAGTTTGCCAAGATGACTTTCCTAGTACAATTTGGATTAGTGACATGATCATCACTAATTCATTTGATTTAAACATGGACAAAAAAAATTGCAAACTGGTACCCATTCATTAGACAATTCTTATATTGTTTATTTTTCAAACAGATCTCCACTACCTGTCAAAATCTTAATCATATTCAGCAGGCAAAGGATTAGGTCCCAGGAAAGCAAACAGTATTCCCTTCAATAGTACGCCACCAGCTTGAGTTGGTTACTTAGCTTTATTACCCTCCAGGTGCAAGCTTGCTTTAGTCTACAAGATGGTGGTCTCAAATGTATTCAGAACAAAATGAATTAATTAACAGCATATACAGAGGTCAATGGCTGTGATCTTATAGCTATTACAAAGACAAGAGTTGAAAGAAGATCAGAACTAGAAACTAAATATTCAGCGGTATGAGATCATTTAAAAAGATAGGCAGGAAGGAAATGGCGGTGAGGTAGCTCTGTTTGTTTGAGATGGAATAAATACAACAGCAAGAAATGACCTTTGAAAGATGCAGATTCCATATTGACGGAAACAAGAAATATCAAGGGGAAAGATGACAATGGTGGGACCGGAAGACAAAGAATAAATCATGAGATAATGAGTGCATGCAAAAAAGGCAGTACATTGATCATGGATAACTTTAATCTCCAAGTCGAGGAGGAAATCTAATTAGCAGAGGTAGCCACGAGGAACAATTGAGTGTATTTAGGGACAGCTTCATAGAACATGATGCTGTGGGTCCAACGAAGGATCAAGTTATTTTAGATTTTATTTTATTCATTCACAGGATGAGGCTTGGCTGACCAGGTATCGTTAATTGCCCAGAGGGCAGATCAGAGTCAACCACACTGCTCTGGAATGACATGTAGGCCAGACCAGGAAAGGCAGTTTCCTTCCCTAAAGGACATTAGTGAACCAGATAGGTTTTTCCGGACAATCAACAATGGGTTCATTGTCATCCATATGTTTTATTGAATTCAATTCCACCATCTGCCATGGCAGGATTCGAACCCGGGTTCCCAGAATTTTATCTGGGTCTCTGGATTAACAGTTCAGCATTAATACCACTAGGCCATTGCCTCCCCAGGTTGATGTGCTAATGTGTAATGAGGTAGATTTAATAAATGACCTGGGTAAAAGATCCCCTAGAAATCAGCGACCATAACATGGTAGAATTTAGCATTCTGGTTGAGAATGAGAAACTTAGACTGGAAACAACTATGCTGCACTTAAGTAAGGGTAATTACTGAGGTAGAGATAGCTTGAGTGAACTGGATGAACAATGGCAGACATTTAAGAAAATAGTTCATGATTAACATCAAAGACACATCCCTGTGAGGAAGGAGGAAAGGATAAACCAACATTGGTTAACCAAGGAAGTTAAGGCTAATATTAAATTGAAAGAAAAATCACACTATGTGGCAAACATTATTGGTAGTCTAGAGTATTGGAAAAGTTTTTTTTTAAAAAATGACAAAAGACTACCAAAAATTGGAGAAAATAAACTTCGTGGTTAAGTTAGCAAATAATAAAAATATATTTAAAAAGGCTCCCTCAGAGATCAAGGCTGAAGATAACATTGGGGCATCAGGAAATGGCAGAGGAGCTGGCATCATTTTTCACTGCAGTAGACACCAATAGCATTTCAGAAATACTAAAGAATCAAGGGCAAAATGGGTAGGGGGGAGGTGGAAGGAAATGAATACAAATAACTATCACTAGAAATAAATGGGGTTAAAGGCTAACTGTTTGCCAGATCTGACTGGGTGCATCCTTGGATATTAAAGGAATTAGCCACTTAGATAGCGGATGCACTGGTAATAATCTTCTAAGAATCCTTAGGTTCTGGACAAGTCCCAGAGAATTGGAAAGCTGTCAATGTAACACTTTTTCAAAAAGGGAGGGAGACTAAAAAGAAGTAACTTTTGTCCAGTTAGCTTAACATTGACCATTTGGTGCATCTATTATAAGCATGCAATAACACAGCATTTAGAAATACATAATACACCAAGTATAATCGGCATGGCTTCATGAAAGGGAAATCATGTCTGACCAATTTATCACAATACTTTGAGGAGCTAACAAGCAGAAAAGATAAAGGGGAATGAGAAAATGTAAAAGACATTTGATGAGGCTGCTTAATAAAAGGCCATGGTTGGGACTAGTATATTAGCATGAATAGAGGATTGGTTAAATAACAGAAGACAGAGTTGGGTAAGGGGCATTTTCAGGATGGCAACCTGTAACTAGTGGAGTGCTACAGGAATTGGTGTTTGGACCACAATTATTTACAATATATATGAATGATTTGGGTAAGGGAGGCAAATGTACTACCATCAGGTTTTTGGATGTCACAAAAGTAGGTGGGAAAGCAAGCAATGATAAGCACACAAAAAATCTACAGAAGCATGTTGGCAGGTTGACTAATTGGCAAATGGAATATAATGTAGGAAATGTGAAGTTATGCACTTTGGCAGGAAGAATGGAGGAACTGGATACTATTTCAATGGAGAAAGACTGTAACTCCCTACTATTACTTTAGTAAAGACACTTTATTGTGAGAATCATTAATAGCAGAATAATTTAGAACCGAGGGTCATTATTTCACTTACTTTGTTTGGAAGACTTGATTGCAAGCTCTTTCGTCTCCTTCATTGAAATTTTCTTTCCTGCTATTTCATCATAGATAGCTGACAGATATTCTTCAGGTAGATCTTTGCTGTCATTGATTCCTCTATTCATCTTAATATACTGGTCTTTTGTCATTTTATTCTTAACCTTTTTTAAGTCAATGAGCAGAAAAGAATAATTCATATAATTTTTTTGAAGTTTTGCTTGCAATATATACCAATCAGGCACAATGTTATCCCTGAATTTATTCTATGATACTGACTCATTTGCAGAAGAGGGAGGCACTATTTCAACAATGAATGCAAGAGTACGAAAAAAAAGACAGAATGGAAGAAAAAGATAAACATAGCCTTATCTGAGAGGGGTTTGGGTGGTGAGTGATGAGATTAATAATTAAGCTTAGCTGCAACATCCTTTGGATCAAATCACAAATGAACATTATTTAAGCTTGCAAGGAAGAGCAATTTGGGGGGATCAAGGGAATCAAACTTGGGAAGTAAATATGTCATAGTATGTGACCTTTCAAAAACACAGGCAAGAAAGGAAGGTGAGGTAACTCCGTTAGAATGAGATGGACTAAGTACAATAGCAATGAATGGACTTAGGTTGGAAGATGTAGAATTCATATTGGTGGAGGTAAGAAATATCTAGGGGAAGACGACAATGATGGGACTACTTGAAGCTAAACAGTTGGCAATGACCTTTGAATCACTTCATAGCATGAACCTGTTTTGCAGTGAGATCAACAAAATAAATTCAGCAAAATAACTGGATTAGCATTATGACAGTGCCACAAAGCATTTTTGTGGCTGCAATGCTCAAAGTTTCAAGTTAATGGAAAATACCTGGGTGGAATTGTTATAATATACATTTCACACCACTCAAATGCTTAACATTGATCACTGCCAACAAGCAGTGCACCATCTATCCTTGAAATGAACTGGCATGAAAATCCATTTAATGACATGGATCCCCAAAGCTACCTAATTCAACATCACCTAACTTTTAAAAAATTACATTTTTTAAGCTATCAGTTATGGTTGGTATATGTATTGAATTGACAGTTAGATACAGATAGTCTTTGAGTTTCATTAATTCAAATAAAACTATTCAAACTTTCCTTCTTGGAAGTCCATCACCCATGCCATTGTGGGTCTACCTACATCAAATGGATTGCAGTAGTTCAAGGAGGCAGCTAACCATCACCTTCTTGAGGGAAACTAGGGATAGGCAATAAATGCTGGCCCAGTCAGTGATAACTATATCCTCTAATAACCAAAAGGAAGCCAATTAATGTTTGATGATTTCCCCTCCTATCTTACATATTTTTCATATGGCACTTCAACACTATAAATTCTCTCTAGTACATCCAGCGAAGTGCAGGAGTTAAACTAAAAACACAAAATTAGCAATCAATATTCACCACTCTTAAATAAAACTCCAAAATAGAAGAAAGGATTAGCGATGACAATGTAATTGATTTATGACGTTAAATGTTTAAACACAAATACCCACATAAATATTTCCATAAGAGATGTATAGCGCAATTATTAAAGAGAAAATAACTATATTCTTCAAAACTTAGATGGTATTAAACTTTCTAATGCTTTAGTAAGTTACAATTTTGAATCATCCCAAAATGCTTTTTAAAAGCTGTCACATTTTCTTATCTATATGAGCTTACCTGTGAGCTGTGAAGATCTGTTGTCAGCATTATGATAGAATATGCCAAAACATATGCTGTATCTGCACTGGCAAAAAGTGTTTGCCTGGGGAGAGAAAAGCAACAAGAAAATCAGTTGTACCAAATCAATTGTACTTATGATTTGATGAGCAGTCTTACTCAACATAACTAATTTACATGGATGATAAAAACACCTGCTTACCCTTGGTTACATTCCAGATATCTGGCTGCAAATTTTTCCATTAATCGATCAATTTTCTGAGCTTCTCCTGGGAGACGGAAACCCTCCAGAAACATTCGGAGAGCTGAGACAAAATCCTTTGATGAAAAGTCTAACTGGTCCACATAGGCATACATGACCTCCTTATTAAACTTGTCATTATCTCCTACATATTCACCTACTTGTGTCTAAAAAATATGAAAAGTTAAATTAATATTTTGTATACAAGTTCACATCAGTAACTAAAACATTGTTGTGATTTTCACCAGTGCATTTCTCATGAGAAGTTCTCTTTTTTACCATACTTCTCTAATACTGTCTCCACGTTATCTCTGAATACGTATCTTTCACTAGGTTTTCTCCTAACTCACCTCATTGCCTGTCTGAAGTTATCTCAGTGCTGTTCCCATTAAACCACTGGTCATCCAATGTCTTATCCTGATGACCTCCATTAGCAGACGTTGCTGATGGCACTCAATTCTTTAAATCTGCTGTCACCATCACTCAACTCAAAAACAATCCTCAATCCTAGCATTCCTACCAACCACTGTCCAGTCTCAAACCTCTCTTTTCTCTTCAAAGTGATGTGTCATCACCTGTCAAACCCATTCTCACCTTACCTGTAACTGCAGTTTTGAATCCCTCCAAATTGGATTTCCACCCTGCCACAGGACTGAAATAGCTCCTGGTAGACTCAGAAATAACTGTCTTTTTGGAACCATTTGACCACATTATCTTTCTCAAAAATGTCAGTAAACAGATTGAACAGTTCTTTCTTATCCATTTAATAGGAGACTGAGAATCACAAGCAAGAAACTCTTTCGGCTGCCACATTGTTACCATTGGTGTCCTATAAGGATTTATCCTTGATCGCTTCCTCTATCATTTGTATGCTGCCCTTTGATAAAACCTTTCACAAGATAATATTGTCTAAATCTCCCAATCTTTCCTCTCAGTCCCACTATCCTAGGAATTAGGCTGGTGAACCTCTGTTGCACTCCAGCATATACTTTGTTAGGTAAGGGAGCCAAAACTGCAGTCTCACCAACGTTCTACTCAACAACTAAACAAAGACATTTTCATAAATACACTTAAAACGTCTTGTTATAAAAACCAGCATATCAATTGCAGTTGCAACGTGTAATTGGAAAGCACGCTAACTTTTAGGGACTTACAAAAAGTGGTCATTTCGCTCCCCAAATGCTGCCAGACAGGAGTTTCTCTGATTTTGTATAAGACCATGTCTCCCCCCACACCCCCTTAACACACTCATTATAAAAATACAAATCATGCTAACCTTTAATGACATACAAAAAAGGACACTATTTAGACATCAACACATTCCAATTTCTCACTATTTAAGAAATACTCTATGCCTATGATTTCTCTACCAAAGTAAACAATCTCACATACTCTATGTGCCATTGTTCTTACTCATTCACCCAGTCTCTCTTAAGTCTTCTCATATCCTTCTTTGCATGACCCTCATGAAACACATTCCTACCTAGCTTTGTGTCATCTTCAACATTGCAAATATTGTATTTGATCACCACATCTAAATCATTCATAAAGGCTGTGAACAGCTGGGCCTCAAACACTGATTTTTGTGGTACCCCATCCATCACAGCCTGCCAACCTGCAAATGACCCATTTATTCCAAACATTTTCTATCTGCTAACTAATCCTCACATAACAACAGTATATTACTGCTTACCACACATGCCCTAATTTTGTCTATTACCCTATGAGGGACATGATCAAATTCTTTCTGAAAATCAAAATATGCAAGATCTACTCTCCTAGTATCATCCTTAAAAAAACTTCCACAGGCTTGTCAAACACTACTTTTCCTTCATAAATCTATGTTGAGTGCCCAATTATATAATGAGCTTAAGGACCTCTTCCTGCCCGATCAAAATTCAGGTTTTGTCTTTGTCCGTAATGGACACACATTTGTATGTATTAATCTTTCCCTTTTTACACATCTAAAAAAGCTTTTACAATTTGTTTTAATGATTCTTGCTAGTTAACATTATTTCCACCTCATCAGTTAGTCATTGCCCTTTGCTAACCCTAAAAACTGCCAACTTGTCCCTCATACCTTCATAGTTTCCTTTATTTGGATCTAAGTCCTGCTTCAGAATGAATTACATCATTTTAAAACAACGTAAAGTTCTATTGCATGGTAGTTCCTGTCATGATTCCAGGAAATGATAATATTGGACAAGTCAGATTCAGGAGTGAAACCTGGCTTAGACCGTATGCTTAATTTTGCAACTTGTTTACCATGGTAGTCAGTTACTGAATATATGTGTGAGAGGCTGTCAATATTCTTTTTAACAAAGCCACAGTTGATGATTTTATTACAAGATGAAAAGAAAGACTATTTTACACCATACAAGAACTATAGTCCTATTGCAAATATCAGAAATGATGATTCAATCCTTTTACCTTCAACAACACTAGTGTACAAGATACTCAAACCTCAGTATAGGGATATCCTCATCCTTGCTCAGTTGGTGAAGCAAAATTATGGCTCACTAAAACACAAAGAGCTGCAGATGTTGTAGATTGGAAACAAAAACTAAGTGCTGGAGAAACTCAACATGTCTGGCAGTATCAATGGAAAGAAAAACAGTGAACATTTCACATCCAAACACATTCACTTTGTCTCGCTCTCCTTGGATGTTGCCAGACCTACTGGTTTTCTCCAGCACTTTGTTTTTGTTTAAGACTAATGTCTCCCCTCTTAACATATACATACAGATAGATAAAGTAAACTTAAAGTATTTGGAAAGGCAAGGACTGATTAGGGATAGTCCACATGGCTTTGTGCATGGGAAATCACATCTCACTAACTTGAGTTTTTTGAAGTGGCGACAAAGAAAATTGGTGAAGGCACAGCGGTAGATGTTACTTATATGGACTTCAGCACGGTAGACTGGTTAGTAAGGTTAGATCACATATGATTGAGGGAATAAGCCAACTGGATACAAAATTGGTTTGAAGATAGGAGACAGAGAGTGGAAGTAAGGGAGTGCTTTTTGGACTGGAGGCCTGTGACCAACAGTGTACCACAGGATCGGTATTGTGTCCAGTGCTTTTCGTCATACATATAAATTATATGGATGTGAACAATAGGAGGAACGGTTAGTAAATTTGCAGATGACACCAAAATAGGTAGTGCAGTGGACAGTGAAGAAGAATATCTCAGTACATTGGGACTTTGATCATGTGGGTCAATAAGCCGAGGAGAGTAAGATGGAGTTTAATTTAGATAAATGTGAAGTATTGCATTTGGTAAGGCAGACAAGGGCAGGACTTATACACTTAATGGTAGGGCCCTGGGGAGTGTTGCTGAACAAAACACCTAAGGGTGCAGGTGCATAGTTCCTTGAAATTGGACAGGTAGACAGGTAGGCAGGACTGTGAAGGCGGCATTAGGCATGCTTGCCATCATAGGTCAGTACACTTGACTATAGGAGTTGGGATGTCATGTTGTGGCTGATCAGGACACTGGTGAGGCCACTTTTAGAATATTGCGTACAAATCTGGTCCCTTTCTATTAGAAGGATTTGTTAAGCTTGAGAGTGTGCAGCAAAAATTTACAAGAATGTTCCCGGGACTGGACGGTTCGAGTTATAGGAGAGGCCGAATAGGCTGGGACTTCTTTCCACTGGAGAATTGGACGCTGAGGGGTGACCTTGTAGAGGTTTATAAAATCATGAGGGGCATGGATAGAGTGAACAGCCATGGTCTTTTTCCGAGGGGCGGGGGAGTCCAAACTAGAGGACACAGACTGAAGGTGAGAGGGGAAACATTTAAAAAGGAGGGGCACCTTTTTCGCACAGAGGGTGGTGCATGATAGAATGAGCTGCCAGAGGAAGTGGTGGAAGCAGGTACAATTACAACATTTAAAAGGCATCTGGATGGGGATATGAATCGGAAGGGTTTAGAGGCCGAATGTTAGGAAATGGGGCTAGATCAGATTGGTCTAGTTGGCATGGATGAGTTGGACCAAAGGGTGTATTCTGTACTGCATAAATCTGACTCTATACATGGTTCTCTCCACTTTAGAATCCAAGTTTACAAATAATAAAAAACATGAATAATCATCAAATCGCTCTTCCCTGGTGACATTGCTTAAATTCTGAAAGTCAGAGTTCAAGTTTTTGCAACGGGTGACACTTTCTGCACATGTTCGTCTCGGCTACAGAAAATATTCATGATTACCCCTCCCCCGCTTGCCAGAGGATGGCATTCCATCCAGTCAAGCTGTCTGCCATTCGTTAAGCTTACTTAAGCACTGTTAAGTATAATCTGGAGATCAGAAAATAAAATTACTCACTCTTACTCATCAAATATCTCCTTCTCCTGTGCTGATAAAACAGATACTTAGGAGTTATGTAAATCTTTTTTCAAAGCTAGCTACTTAGACACCCTTAAAAGTAGTGAATGAAACTAATTATTTAACAGACTCTTTCAGTAGATACTCACTGACCGATAGCTTCCAACTTTGCTGTGACGTTACTTGTTGTAATTGCACAGCTACACTGAATCTTTAGACCACCATTGACACAATTTTGTATGAGCTAGCTGGGATTCTTGGTCACCATAAAACTGACCTGTAACTACAAGTGTGCTTTTAGGCTGGAATCTACAGGGCCTGCTCTGCCTAGTGTGGTAGGGAAAAACCACCTGGTGGTCTAATGGGAAGAGGCTTTTGTCTTAAACAAGATATAATTGATGACATGAATGTAATAAGGAACAAGCTACTTTGGCATATTGAATATGTTACAAAGACTGAGGAGAACTAGCTGCTGGCTTTGTCTCCTTCAAGTTCCAGAGCTGTCCTGCTGGTCCCGACCCTCGTTGTGATGACAGTCTTTAGCATTAATTGTTTCAGAACCATTACCTGCCACAACATTACTATTTCTTTTTGACTTATCCTTCCTCACAATTACTAAAAAATTGCATAAGTTTTGAAAGATGAGCAAAAACTCACCAACCAATTATTTAACCGTTGTTGAGTGATGTCACATCTTGGTTTTTCAAGTTGTGGACCAGACTGAATAGTGGATAGCTCTCTCTATCTGTCACATTGTAAGGACCTTCTGAAATTGCACTGTTCTCATCAGTTACTCATTTGAAAACTATTTTTTTGCTACTTTATCATTTTTGTTTTTATGTTGTTTAGACTGAACCTGCCTTACGGCACAGAATTTCCTTACTCACCATATTCCCTAGTTCACACACTGCAGCTCCCTGCACTCAATGATGAGCAGCTGTCTTCAGGCTTGCTTAGTTTGCATGCTTAGTGCAATCATCTGTATTTATACTGGCTCAATTTTTACAATGAATCAGCACTGCTGGCTTTAAAAAAACTAGACTGAACTACCTACCAAATGAACTTACTACAGCTGTTTTGAGTAGGGCACTTTGAAAGAACCTTCACTGCCTATGTCTAGCTCCTCAATATTGTTCGACCTTGCCAGTCTATCTCATCAAATTTCCTGAGATTCCCACCAAACGCTTCAGCCAATTCAACTTGAACTGTGAATCTCAACAACATTTTCGGTTCAGAACATGTATTCCAGGGCCGCCTACGCCTCAATTAAGGCTACAATATAGTGATCTACTCAACAAAAGGGGAAAAAAAAAATCACCCAGCCTGTAACGTCCAAAAAAAGCAACTTAAATCTAATCCAAATACTGCCCCATCAATCTATTCTCACTGATGCCAGCAACAGTGCTATTTATTATGAGGCACTTACGTGCCAATAAGATGCTTGCCAATGCTCAGTTTAACTTTTGCCAGGATGATAGTTCCAGATCCAATTACAAGCCAGATCCAAGCATGGACAAAACAGCTAAATTTGAGGGCTGAGGTCAGTGAGAGTGACTTATTTAACATCAAGACAGGTCCTTGCATTACTACAAACAGTGGAAAGGTTTCCCCAATTCTCATTGACTTTGATTTTAGGGAACATTGGAAGATCACAACCAACATATTTACTATTAGTGCAGCAACTACTTTTACGACCCTTAGGATGCAAGCCATTATGTCCAAGAAATCTGTGAGCCTTTAGTTCCAATAGCTTTTATTTCTCCAGTGTTCATAATTGCTTTGAATTCCTCTCTTCTTTTCACCCCTTTATTTTCATGTATTCAAGAGATTTTTTTAATATTCATTTTTTACAAGGTGGTGCATCCTTCTCATAAAACCTTTCTGATTAGAATATTGTGATGCAGGTTTGTATTATATTATTATTATTTAGAAACTTGGATTCGAAAGTGGAGAAAAATTGATTTTAGCGTTCAGTTCTGTAAAAATAGCCTTTTAGTAATAAAGGTCAGAAAGTAATTTTGAACATTGAAATAAAAACAACTTTTCAAAGAAAACATATGACTGAAGTGACTCAGTTACACAGGAGGCTAAATGGTGAATGTTTGAGAAGTTAAGGTTTTACTAAACACACTAATAGTCAAGGGCTACTAGTAAGCCTTTAAACAGGGAACTGGCCAAATACTTAATGGGAAGATAACTTGTCTTGTTAAGGAGGATGAAAAGACGAATCATGTTTTTCCATTGAAGACCAAGAACAGGTAATAAGAGTTGAAGGGTTTCTTTCTGCACTCAACCATTGTATCCTATTTTTGCTAATCCTTTTGATTCAAAAAAATGTTATACTTGACCACAAGGCTCATTGGAACTTAGGCCAATGACTATGTTAAATTAGCAACTTTAATCCTGTAACTTTTAGTTCACTGCAGGAGATGTGTGCTATCTTCAACTCACTGGAAAGATATATCACAAACAGTGATGGAAAACAGTTTAATGTAAAAGTACAGTTTTTTAAAAATGTCCAATAAATGGGAACACTGCGAAGACACTAAATAGTTTTATCCACTTTTGTGAAAACTGGACTTTTAATCACTTACTGTGTCTAATCGTTCTTCTTGATGTAGAAATTGAGCAATATCATCAGGTGTAGTCCCAAGCATTCCTTGCTCCTGTAGATACTGTAGCCCTCTTTTTGGCTTCTTGTTAAATCTGTATTTTAAAGAAAAAGCTATTTCAATTTCTTAGCACTTAGGTGACTGATTTCTTGATTGTTAAACATTATTTCATGTTATCATTAGATCAAGTAATGATAGATAAGTATGGGGTAACAGAAAGAAAGCACCAATCTCTGGTGTAGACAGTGGTAAAAGGTTTCCACACATATGGCTGAACTGACATTTAGGTGGTTTTAATCCACTCTATGCATGCCATATATCATGGCAATTTCCCATAACCTGCAGAATACACACTGAAGTGCTAAACAGCCTGGGCAAACAGATCTTCAGAATGGTCTGTAAACTGTTAAATAATGTAAGTTTGTATTTAGACCTCCTAGTTTGGAGTGCTTAAAACTAATGAGTTACACAGCTTTACTCTAACTTCAAACAAGATAAAAGGTTAGTTCGGCACACAACCATTGCTAAAAGGTTTCTGAAAGTAAAAAGATCAAAAAACTATTCTTTAAAATACAGATATAATATTTAATGCAAGGGAAAAAGTAGAAGTTAGGTATGAAAATGAGATCATTTCTACAGTCACTGCAGTCATGGCTTGCTTGAAGATTCTTCTCCTGAAATGAAATGGTTAAAAAAGTCAGATTGACTGTGATGACTTCTGTACATTGAATATCTGGAGGTTGCTCCCACAAGTGAAATAAGCAGAAAGATCCGAGAATGAGTGAAGACTTCGTTCTTTTGCTTTGCATTACAGTTTAGCTCTTAGAAGCCTGGTTCAATACAGACTTTTCTTTCATTTACAGGGTGTGGGCATTGCTGGCTGGACCAGTATTTATTGCACAGCCCTAGTTACCCCAAAAGAGGTGGTGGTGAGCTGCCTTAAACCATTCCAGTCCATTTGTTGTAGGTGGATCCACAATGCTGTTAGGAAAGGAGTTCCAGGATTTTGACCCAGTGACACTGAGGAAACAGCGCTATATTTCCAAGTCTAGATGGTGAGTGGCTTGGAGGGGGACTTGCCACATATCTTAGCTGTTGTCCTCAGTAATAGTGGTTGTGGGTTTGCAAGGTGCTGTCAAAGCCAAAATAGATGCCACAATTCTCAAGGAGGAGCAGGAGCAGACAGTTTTGGGTGTATATATGCACCGATCATTGAAGGTGGCAGGATAGATACAGAGATCTAAATAAAACAGCGTTCTTGGCTTGATTAATAGAGGTAGAGTGTACAGGAGCAAGGAGGTGATGTTGAACTTCTACAAGACACTGGTTAGACCTCAGCTGGAGTATTGCAGACAGTTGTGGGTGCCATGTCATTGGCAAGATGCAAATTCTTTGGACAGAGCGCAGAAGTGATTTATGAGAATAGTTCCAGATAGAGAAACTCCAGTTATGAGGAATGACTGAAGAAGTTGGGACTGTTCTCCTTATAAAGAAGAATGCTGGGAGGAGATCTGATAGAGGTTTTCAAAATCATGAGCAGGCAGGACAGACTAGGTATTATGAAGTTGTTTCCATTGTAAAAGAAACAAGAATGAGAGAGGGCATATACTTGAAGTGATGTGCAAATGAAGCAAGGGTGATGTGCAAGAAAACTCCTTCACACAGCAAGTTGCTGGGGTATGGAAATGTACTGCAAAATGGAATTGTGGAGGAGGCGGGTTCAATTGAGGCACTTAAAAGGGCATTGGATTTTTTTGGATAGTAATGGTGTGCAGGGATATGAGGAAAAGGCTGGAAGTGGGCACTAAATAATTCAGCTAATCCAGCATGATGGGTCAAATGGCCTTCTTGTGCTCCTTAATTCAGTGATTCAGCAAAGTTATTGAAGTCTCTTCAATACAGTTCTCCTGATACTTCTGCATAAAATGACTTCTCACAGCCAGATTTTAATGCAGTTCCAAACTTAAAAATGACTGCTATCCTAAAATGTCAAATTATGCTTCATATTAACTTCTGATTTAGGCCAAGTATACTGTACAGATGCCATACCATGGTCCTAAAGATCAGCTAACTTCTTAACTGTCTCACCCAGTAGCTTGATGGCTCTTATTCTGTAAGGATTTTGGTGGGAAAAGATGATTCAGGGAAGCCATCGTCAACGAATTTCTCTTCACTCTTGGAAATGTTTGTTGAATTTCAAAAGGACTCCTGTGATTTCTTCTTGACATAGTTGCCTCAAGACCAGGTGAATTCACTCAAGCAGGTATGAAATTTCTGAAATCCATTTCGCAAGACACCTAGTGTCCTTTTTAAGACTGCTTAGCTTTCTTTTCAAATTAAATAATACCACAAATACTATCTGTGGCACTAGCCAAATTCTGCAACACCAAGGTGCTAACTAGACACTAGTGGCCTCTGGAGTAGAAATTATACCAGCATCAATAGCTATCTTGAAATCCGTCATTGCATTTGATTTCCAGTCATAAGTAGTGCACAGTAGGTTGATAATGACAATGGTCTGAAGAATTTTAGAGCCTGTGTCTAACACCGTTGGGGCCATAAGAAGGGAGTGCAGATGTCATTCCTTTTCAAGAGTGCAGGGAGCCAGCTGGCCAGCTTCATCTAACATCTTCACATGGGAATTTAAAAGTAATGCAAGGAGTATGATTTTTATAGATGCACCATAGACAACATCCTATCAGGATGCATCACAGAGTGGTTTGGCAACTGCTCTTCCCAAGACTGAACGAAACTACAGAGAGTCGTAAACATAGCCCAGTCTATCTCACAAACCAGCCATCTATTGACTCCATCTAGATTTTCCACTGCCTTGGGAAAGCAAGCAACATAATTCGGCACCTCCCACCCAAGAACAGCTTCTTCCCTGTTGTTATCAGATTTTTGAATGGACCTCTCAAATGTTAATTCTGATCTCTCTCTCTGTACCTTCTCTGCAGTTGTAACACTATATTCTGCACTCTGCTACCCTAATGCACTTTGTCTGGTGCGATCTGGATATGCAAAACAACACTTTTCACTGTATCTTAGTACATGAGACAACAATAAATCAATCATACAAAACTTTTTTAAAATTCATTCACAGGATGAGGGTGTTGCTGGCTAGGCCAGCATTTATTGCCCATCCCAGAAGGCAGTTAAGAGTCAACCACATTGCTGTGGGTCTGGAGTCACACGTAGGCCAGACTGGGTACAGATGGAAGTTTCCCTCCCGAAAGGACATTAGTGAACCAGATGGGGTTTTCTGACAATCGGCAATGGTTTCGTGGTTATCACAAGATTCTTAATTCTGTATTTTTATTGAATTCAAATTCCACCATCTGCCTTGGTGAGATTCAAACCCAGGACACCAGAACCATTACCTGTGTCTCTGGGTTAACTGTCCAGTGATAATACAACTAGGAACATTTCTTTAAATCATTAATGCTCCAGTAGCTGATGATGCAATTTATACCACACAAATTATTCAACGGTGAAGCAAATACAAAATGAAAAAACAAATTTTCTTACTCCCTACAAAGTAGCTGGAATTGCTTCAACAAAGTAGATTTATATTAACTTCCAAGTCCATAAACAACACTGTACATACTTCTGTTTTTTGAGGATTCTGACTTACAGCTCAATTCCTTGTTCTATGATTTCTTTCTGCTGCTTCAAAACTTCATATTGTTCTGGGTTGTCTGCACCAGATGTCTGAGTGCTATAGCTGCCAATCCCTGATGATGCTGTGGAATCCAAGGAATTTATGCTCCCATATCGGTTTATTGTGTCAGGGTACTTATTTTCATTGTTGTCTTGCTCTGAAGTCTTTTCTTGGCCTATATTCATACAAGAAATGTTAGAAATCATTTAGTTTAAAAAACACAAGGTTAGGAGAGTTGAATTTATACAAAATGCAGTAGAACACAATACTGATCTATTCTACAGGCTGTGGGCTATTTGGGTTGTTACTGTTGATCAGATTTCTTTTTCAAACAGAAAGGGTCAGGAGTCAGGCACACGAGAGAAGGGAATAACTATGAGAGGGGGGCAGTCAATGCAGAACTGAGAGTGCTGCACTTAAATGCCTGCAGTAAAAGAAACAAGGCAAATGAGCTTGGAGTGCAGATTGAAATTGGCAAATATGCTGTTGTGGGCATCACAGAAACATAGCTGGAAGGGGATCAGGACTGGGAGCTAGATATCAAAAGACGCACATCCTATCGTAAGGTCAGGCAGATGGGCAAAGGAACTACGTTTCCCTCGTCAGTAATAAATGAAATCAATTTGATAGCAATAAGTGATAATAGGATCAGATAGTGTAAAACCTGTATGGGTAGACTTGAGGAACGACAAAGGAAAAAACGACCCCAACAGGAGTTATGAACAAGCCCCCTAGCAATAGTCAGGATGTGGGGCAGAAAGTAAATCAACAGACAGAAAAACCATGTAAGAAAGGCACTATTACAATAATCTTGGGGGACTTCTATATGTAGGTTGGCAGCCGTTACCAAGAAATTTGTGGAATATCTACAAGATGGTTTTTTGGAGCAGCTTGCAGCACAGCCCTCGAGGGAACAGCAATTCTGGATCTGGTGATTTGTCATTAAGCAGACTTGATTAGGTAGGTTAAGGTTGAGTGACCCTTGGGGACAGTGATCACAATATGATAGAATCCACCCTGCAGTCTGAGAGGGAGAAGCTGGAATCGGATGTAACAGTTGAGTAGAGGCAACTACAAAGGGAGGAACTGACCAGAGCTGATTGAAAGGGAAGCCTAGCAGGGAAGATGGTACAGCAGCATTGGCAGATGTTTCTGGTGCTAATTTGAGAAGCACAGCAGTTATTCATCCAAGGAAGAAGAAACATACTAAGGAAGGATGAGGCCACCACAGCTGATGAAAGAAGTCAGTGACAGCATAAGAGCAAAAGAGAATACATCACTGTGTTGAAGACCACTGAGAATCCAGAGAATTCAAAATCTTTAAAAACCAGCAGAGGGCAACTGTAACAGTACATCTGGGGAGGGGGGAGGGGGGATTGGGCCAGACGAGAAGATTAAATAGGAGGATAAGCGAACTAGCAATCTAAAAGAAGATTTCAGGAGTTTTTTCTGAAGACATATAAAAAGCAAGAGAGAGGGGTAAAAGTGTGCATTGGACTGCTGGAAAATGAGACTGGAGAAGTAGTGATGGGGAACAAAGAAATGGCACAGGAATTGAATTGGTACTTTATATCAGTCTTCACAGTGGAAGACATTAATAGCATACCAGAACTTCAAGAGAGTTAGGTGGCAGAACTGAGTATTGTGATCAACACTAATGAGAAGGTGGTGGGGAAGCTGAAAGGCCTTAAGATGGATAAATCACCTGGACTAGATGGATTACACCCCAGAGTTCTGAAGGAGATGGTTGAAGAGATTATAGAGTCATTAGTGGTGATTGTTCAGAAATCAATGGAGCCAGGGAGGGTCCCAGAGGACCGGAAAATGGCTATAAATGCAGAGAGAATTCTGCAAAGCCACAGTATAACTTGTCTATCCTTATACTCAATGCCTCTTCCAATGAAGCCAAGCATGTCATCGGCCATTTTTTACTACCTTATCTACCTGAGCTGCAACCTTCAGTGATCTGTGGACCTGCACACCCAGATCTCGCTGCATATCAATACTCCTAAGCATTCTGCCATTCACTGTATAATTTCCACCTGTACCTGATCTTCCAAAATGCATCATCTCATACTTGTCCAGATTAAACTCCTTTTGCCATTTCTCTGCCCATGCCTCCATCTGATCTACGTCTTGCTGTATCCTCTGATAATCCTCCTCACTATTTGCAACTCCACCAATCTTTGTATCATCTGCACACTTACGAATTAGACCAGTTACATTTTCCTCCAAATCATTTATGTAGATCATGAACAGCAGAGGTCCCAGCACTGTGGAACACCACTCATCACTGTCCTCCATTCTGAAAAGCATCCTGCCACCCTGTCTTATATGACTAAGCCAGTTCTGATTCCATCTTGCCAGCTCACTCCTGATACCATGTGACTTTACCTTTTGTACCAGTCGGCCATGAGGGACCTTGTCAAAGGCTTTATTGAAGTCCATGTGGATAACATTATCCGTTTTTCCCTCAATCATCTTTGTCACTTCCTCTAAAAACTCAATCAATTTAGTGAGGCACGACCTCCCCGCCCAAAACCATGCTACTCATCGTTAATCAGTTTATATGCTTCTAAATGCTTACAGATCTTGTGTCTGAGAACCCTTTTCAATAATTTCCTTACCACTTATGTGAAGCTCACAGGCCTGTAATTTCCTGGATTATCCCTGTTACCCTTTTTAAACAACGGGATAACATCAGCTATTTTCCGGTCCTCTGAGACCTCACCTGTGGCCAAAGAGGATAGAAAGATGTCTGTCAATACTCTGGGATAGATCCTATCAGGACCCGGGGACTAATCTATCTTATTACTTTTTAAGATGTGCAACACCTCTTCCTTTTTAATCGCAATTTGGCTTAGAAAACTGACATTCCCTTCCCTGAAATCATCCTCCACCAATTCCTTCTTTTTGGTGAATACTGATACAAAGTATTCATTTAAGACCTCACCAACTTCTTCTAGGTCCACACATACAGTCTCTCCTGTCCGTGAGTGGGCCAACTCTTTCCCTGGCTACCCTCTTGCCTTTTATATATGTATAAAAAGCCTTGGGATTCTCCATAATTCTACTTGCTAATGACTTAAAATGAGATTGTAGGGTACTTGGAAGTGCATGGTAAAATAGGGCTGAAGCAGCATGACTTGATCAAGGGGAGGTCATGTTAGACAAATCTGTTAGAATTCTTTGAGATGATAACAAGCAAGTTAGACAAAAGAGACCTGTTCATTTGGATTTCACAAGATGCTGCACAAGAGGTTGCTAAATAAAGTTCTGTCAAAGATTGAGGATTGGTTGACAGGCAGAAGGCAGAGAGTGGGATGGCAGTCAGTGACTAGTGGAGTTCCACAGGGGTCAGGGTTGGGACCACAACTATTCACATTATACATTAACAACCTGGGAGGAGAGAAATGGGGACATTGTTGCTAAGTTTGCAACTGACACAAAGATAGGTAAAGGGACAGGTCAGTGCTGAGGAAGTCGGGAGCTCACAGAACGACTTAGACAGGCTGGAGAGTGGTCAAAGAAGTGGCAGATGGAATATGGGACTTTGATAGGAAGAATAGAGGCATAGGCTATTTTTGAAATGGGGAAAGACTAAAAATCTGAAGCACAAAGGGACTTGGGAGTCTTAGTTCAAGATTCTCTCAAGGTTAACGCAAGGTTCAGCTGGCACTTAGGAAGGCAAATGCAATGTTAGCATACAATTTGACAGGACTTGAATACCACAGCAGGGAGTTATTGCTGAGGTTGTACAAGGCTCTGATCAGACTGCATTTGGAATATTTAGAGTAGTTTTAGGCCCTGTATCTGAGGAAGGATGGGCTGGTGTTGGAGGGGGTCCAGAGGAGGTTCACAAGAACAATCCCAGCGACAAAGAGTTTGTCATATGAGGAGCAGTTGAGGGCTCTAGATCCATATCCAATGGAATTTAGAAGGAATGGGGGTGGGGG